TCTCCCAAGGAGGTCAAGGTGGTGTGTACATGGTTCTTCCCTCCCTCCCCCACCTTCCTCATTTAGTTCCCACGACAACCCTGTGAGGTGGATTAGGCTGAGAGGCAGAGTGACTGGCCCAAGACCGCTTATGGCTGAGCGGGAATTTGAACCCTGGTTGCTTCTCCTTGAAGGCAGTGGTGTGCTTGAAAGAACCAGGGTGGCAAAGTGGTTGGCATTTCAGACTGCCAAGACCCAGGTTCACATCTCAGCTCAGCCATGAAGCGTACAGGGTAGCCTTGGGCTTCCTCTCAGTGCCTAACCTCCCTCGCAGGGCTGTTGCTTGCTATGAGGATGGAAATCATGCCACCTTGAGCCAGAGGCAAAGGTGAGCAGAGGGACCGCTGTGGAGCTGACCTTTCTGCAAGGGGCTGCTTTCTGCACACACCTCTCCATTCATTCAAACAAACAAACAGACAAGCAAGAGGCAGGATTGGAGCTCAAGAAGGGTGAGGGCTAAGCTTGGGGAGAGAGCAGAGGGCCAAAGAGAGGGCCTTCCAGTCCTGAGGTCCCATTTGGAGAGCTGCAGGCTCCCCATTACTCTTTCTTTCATACAGGATGCTCAGTTCCTGCTCATGGCTCAGTTCTTTGTTGCCAAACCACCAAGAGCCCAGCAACGATGGGGTATAAACATTGCCATTCTTTCTCTTCCTTGTCGCCACCCCACATTCCAGGGAAAAGCAGAAGCGAGCTCAACCTTCTGGAAGAGGAGAGCCAGAGCACAGGGGTCTGACCCGCTAGAGGCTTTGGGGGCAAGGAGTCTCGGGAGGCCCCCTCTGAAATCTCGGTCGCCTTCTCCTGGAGTCCACCCGTCCTTCCGAGGAACCTTTCACTTTGGCTCCTGCGTCCCAGAGAGACTCCTAGAACTGTGAGGAAACTGGCCAGCAGCCTCTTGGGTTGCTTCTGGTGCTTTGACCCGGCTGCAGCACCCAGGACGTCCTCTGAGCAGCACTTGACGGACAAAGGGTGGTTGAGTTGGGGGGGGGCGGAAATCTCTAAGACTGTGAACAGCAGAGAACAGCCACCCTGTGCCTACAGACTGGATTACTTTTGCAGGAGTCGGTGTGAGCAGGGACCGGCAAGGGTGTCATTGCAACAGCGTTCCCTCTGCTCCACTGACTGTGTTGATCTTTTCCTCCCCGCGTGCAACAGATCTCCCTTCCACCCAGCGGTCTCATATGTACATTCCACCCACCCTCCAGGCGCACTTCAGTTTGTTATTCCCCACACCAGGCTTTCACTGGTGGCTCCAGCGCTTGGCTCTGGGGCACCCCCACCCACCAGCCTCCCTCTGCAGCTGTTGCGCTTCCTGCCTTTGACTGTAGCTGCACCCAGCCGCCATGCCAGGCCTGACTCCAGGACCTGAAACTTGCTTCTCCCACATTCCAAGCACACCCGCCTTGCTGGTCTTCTGAATGCCAACACCAGCCTCCAAGGGCATTTGAACCAGCCGTGAATCTCATCTGGCACCAGGCAGGGCATCAAACCATCCTCCCCAAATTGTGCCAAAGTCCACACTCCCTGGAGCCACATGTGCAGCCTGACTCTGTCTTGCCAGGATTGCACTGCTCGCCCTCTTTCCAGAAAGTGGGTCCCCATGGCGATCAGGTGGTGGGCTCTGTCTGTGCCAACCCAGGAAATGCTGCTATTCTGCAAAGCAACCCTTCCTTCCCAGAGGATGCCTGTCTCCTGGCCACTTTCACCTAAAGTTTCATTCTCTTCCCCCTTGCTTTGCGTCTCTAGTTCTTAAATCCAACACAGGTTTAAAAAACAGTTTGCGCAGGTGGGAACTGGGGCGGGAGCCATTCCGACCCCGTGCTGGTGTTTCCCAAATACTGGAGTTTAAGTGACTCCTCACATAAGCTGTTGAGTGGTTGGGGATAGAATCATAGAATCATAGAGTTGGAATAGACCACAAGGGCCATCGAGTCCAACCCCCTGCCAAGCAGGAAACATCATCAGAGCACTCCTGACATATGGTTGTCAAGCCTCTGCTTAAAGACCTCCAAAGAAGGAGACTCCACCACACTCCTTGGCAGCAAATTCCACTGTCGAACAGCTCTTACTGTCAGGAAGTTCTTCCTAATGTTTAGGTGGAATCTTCTTTCTTGTAGTTTGGATCCATTGCTCCGTGTCCGCTTCTCTGGAGCAGCAGAAAACAACCTTTCTCCCTCCTCTATATGACATCCTTTTATATATTTGAACATGGCTATCATATCACCCCTTAACCTCCTCTTCTCCAGGCTAAACATGCCCAGCTCCCTTAGCCATTCCTCATAAGGCATCGTTTCCAGGCCTTTGACCATTTTGGTTGCCCTCCTCTGGACACGTTCCAGTTTGTCAGTGTCCTTCTTGAACTGTGGTGCCCAGAACTGTACACAGTACTCCAGGTGAGGTCTGACCAGAGCAGAATACAGTGGCACTATTACTTCCCTTGATCTAGATGCTATACTCCTATTGATGCAGCCCAGAATTGCATTGGCTTTTTTAGCTGCCGCGTCACACTGTTGGCTCATGTCAAGTTTGTGGTCAACCAAGACTCCTAGATCCTTTTCACATGCAACAGGATTTGCCCCATCAATCTGCCGGCATTCCAGGCACTGAGTCTCCCACCTTGTGAATGCTTGCAGTGCATGGAGGATCTGCAGCATTTTGCTGCAGTTTACCCAAGAAGGCCTGCTGGGTGGAAGAAAGTCCTAAAGGACCGCCATTCCTCCTCTAACTGCTCCTTCTGGCTCCTTGTGTTCGTGCTTAGAAGAGCAGCTGCTGTTGCATTTCCCTCTGAACCAGCCTTCCCCAGCCTGTGCACTTCAGATGTTTTGGACTACACCTTCCCATCAGCCCCATGCGGCACGGCTCCTGCTCAATGGCTGATGGGAGCAGGAGTCCAGCACAACTGGAGGGCACTAGGTGGAGAAGGCTGTTCTCGGCTGCCCTCCTTGGCTGCCGGGTTCTGGCTGGAGAGGCAGCACAGGATGCTATGCTTGCCCTCCACGCTAGCTTGGGCAGAGAGAAACAGTCCCCCCACCCTTAGTTGCTACTTACAGTATTCCCCCACTGGAGTTCTTGTTTTTAAAATGAAATAAAGGACTGAAGAGCAAGAGAGGGAAAGAGAGAAAGTTGGTTTCCCTTTCTCCCTCTCTCGTCCTCTCCCTGTCCATAACCAACAGCAGAAGTTGTCTAAAAGCAATGTATAATTTCAGGTAAATTATTTGTAACCTGCCTTTATGTTGTAGTTTTTCTGCAAGGACTGTACCTTCAAAATGGAATAGTCTAATCTTATATATCTATTTATAAGTTCCTGGCTTTAAGGAGTGTTTGGTACGCTGCGTGTATAAGGACCTCTAAAAACAATTCGGGAGCTGTTACCATGAGCGGCTTCTGCGAAGGGGATGTAAATGCCCCACCTTTCCTCTTACTCCTTAGGTTGCCCATGGCTCTGGGAAGGAGGACCTCCTTTGGTTTCCACCAAAGACAGTCCTGCTTACCTATGGTGACAGGGACCACAGCCAGGCTCTTGCCAGGGTCGCCTCCCAGTCTGCCATGTCTGGTTGAGGAGTCCCAGGCTGGGGGCCCCCATTCCACAGGCTACATCCCCAGTAGCCCTTTTCTCTGTCCTCAAGAGTTGGTGCTGGGCTCAAATGTGTCCTTGAACTGTGAAAATGGTCTCTGGGAGGAGTTTTAAAGGTAAAGGTACCCCTGCCCCTAGGGGCCAGTCTTGCCAGACTCTAGGGTTGTGCGCCCATCTCACTCTATAGGCCGGGAGCCAGCGCTGTCCGCAGACACTTCCGGGTCACGTGGCCAGCGTGACAAAGCTGCTCTGGCGAGCCAGCACCAGCGCAGCACACGGAAACGCCGTTTACCTTCCCGCTAGTAAGCGGTCCCTATTTATCTACTTGCACCCGAGGGTGCTTTCGAACTGCTAGGTTGGCAGGCGCTGGGACCGAACAACGGGAGCGCACCCCGCCGCGGGGATTCGAACCGCCGACCATGCGATTGGCAAGTCCTAGGCGCTGAGGTTTAACCCACAGCACCACCCACGTCCCTGGGAGGAGTTGTAGAAAACTATAAATTGGTAGATGGCTGGCACGTATGACCAGTCACCCTTGATCCTCCTCCCCACAGGTATGTGGCTCCCCAGAAGATTCCCCACCCCCGATTGAGGCCATGGGCTGTAGGGTTACCAGCAGTGGTTGAGAGGGGACCCTTTCTTGTTTCAACCTTTGAGGAGAAAGAGTTGATGCCAGAGCATTGGAGAGAGAGAGGATTTCAGGAGCAGCCCTTTCCTAAAACACAAAACTCTCTGCACAAAGCCAGGGCTTCTGATGATTTATTCTTGTTCAAAGAGGAATCGCCATATTCCAAAAAGGCAAACACAAGCCTTTTGGGTGACTGGGGCTTAGCCATCCATAGTCAGCCCCTCGCAGTCGCTTAAGTAGGGCCTTGTTTGACATGCCAGTTGTGGGGGAGAGGAGGGCTGTCTTCTCGCAGATTGAAGGGCCAGAAATGTCAAGATCAACAGCCTTTGAGAAAGTTCCACCACCCGATTGGCAAAGAGAGCCTATCCTCCAGATGGCCATGCTGCCCAGAACTGCTTGAATTTGTCAGAATTTCCCCCCAAAAAAGTAGAGGCTAGAACATTGTTTTCGACACATTTAGATTCAAGATCAACTTGAGAAGAATTGAGACCTCACATTGGTTTGCAAAGATCCATTCAAGTAATTTCCTCCAATCCCCTCTGCACATTTCTCTGCAGAATGAAAGGGGCATAAAGGTACCCCTGACCGTTAGGTCCAGTTGCGGACGACTCGGGGGTTGCGCAATCATCTTGCTCTATAGGCCAAGGGAGCTGGCGTTTGTCCGCAGACTGTTTAGCTTCCCGCTGGAGCGGTACCTATTTATCTACTTGCACTTGACGTGCTTTCGAACTGCTAGGTTGGCAGGAGCAGGGACCGAGAAACGGGAGCTCACCCCATCGTGGGGATTCGAACTGCCGACCTTCCGATCAGCAAGCCCTAGCTCTGTGGTTTAGACCACAGTGCCACCCGCGTCCCACGGAAGGGGCACAGACATGTATTAAAAGTCCAGTGTGACCCATGTACCAGACAGCAAGGTCAACAAGGTAGACCATTGTGGTAACCAGACACTGAAGGGCAATGTCCATCCTGGCTCTGGGGCTCTTTCACTGATTACCTTGGAAAAAATCCATCAACATGTATGTATGTCAGGTATAGAGAACGTGAAACCCAGTTCCACGGTGAAGGTCAGTTAGCAGAAAGTCAGGGAGCTGCTCTGCACACTCCAGAAACAACAAGAACAGTAAGGGGATGATGCCAAGAACAGCTGTGCCAGCAGTGTGCAAACTCTGGAACCTGCAGCACTTGAGATCCATTTTGCATCAGAGAATAAATCCTTTGAGGATCATGTTTTGGTTGGGGGGTCATGGCCTGAACCAGCAGTGCCAAGATCCTGCTTCTCCAACAGACAAGGAATGAGAGGGCCCTGCCTGGAGGCATGTGGCTCCACAGCAGTGGCTGGGAATGGCAAGGAGGAGGCAGTCGCTGGCACCTTTTAAGGGCTGGGAGCAAAGAGGTTATGCCCTTTGTGGCATGTGCAAAGCCCCACCCCAGGGCGTCTCCCAAGGGAACAGGCACAAGGATGCTTGACAGGAAAGAGCTGGGGTGCTTCCCTCATGCCTCGAAGGGGAAATTAAGGCAGCTGAGAGGATCCTTGTTTCTGCTTTTGGAGACCAGCAGAGGTTTGGCTCATAACCAGCCATGGCCTAAGTGTCTCAGGCATGGCTCCCCAGTCTACAAGGAAGTTGCTTCCAGTCCTCACCATTGAACCAGGGAGGGCTGCAACTAAGCTCCAGAAGTGGCCTCCAGGATCTGTGAAAGGCAGAAGCTGTCTGCCTTTTCCTCCAAGGCCTCCTTGGACTCTCAGCCCCAACAGAACTGTTAAGAAGTGAAAGGCGCTTGGGAAGGGCAGTTCTCTGTCCCCCTATCATGCGGCAGAGTGAGGAGGCTGTCTAGGCAGTAGATGGGGAGGGGGCGCAGTACAAGAGGGGCAGCTCCTGCCCTCCCCAGACATTCCTCCTGAGCTCCCGGTGACGATGCTGGTGGTGTGGCTGGCTGGCTACTTTGTCTCTTCCCAATGCCTCAACACACCCTCACCTGCGAGCGCCCTGGCTGGCTGCTCCAGCAGGTGAGTTCAATGCACTGCGCTGCTTACCCATTGCTGCAGCTAATGCCCTGCAACAGGCCCAGGCGGAGCAGTGGAGCATTGGAAGAAAAGCTGTGTGCCCCATGGCCTGCCCTGCACCCTCTAAGCTTGCGTGCCGCCCATCACCAGCACTGAAGTGAGAGTTGACTGCCATTAACAACCAGCTTCTGGGAGCAGAATGAGGCTGGTGTGCCATCCTGTCCTTTGCCTAGTGTCTGGCGGGGTGGGGGGGACTAGCCCTGCAGCCCCCCTCCTAGGTGTTCCTGCGCAGCAGGACCACGGCCACAGCATTCCCCTCACCTCCTGCTTGCCCTGCCTGATAGAGCTGCTTTGGGAGTTCCCGAAGGGGCTGTGCATCTACCCACCTCCCTGTAATAAAAGCCTTTTTTCCCCTCCACCCTTCTCGCTGGCCAGAGAGGACAGCGGATTTCCCTGTTTCCGAAGAAAGACCATCATTCCCACACACGCCCCAGATCACAGCCACAAGGTTTCCAAGTGCCATCTCTTGTGCCTTAGTTTCTCCTCGGGTGACAGCCTCCACAGAGAGCCACAAGAGGGAGGGAATTTGTCAGCTCCACCAGGAAGAGCAAGTGGGGACAGGCCCTGCATGGCTGGCTCCCAGCCCACTCCGAGGAGCAGAAAACTGACCCTCAAAGCCTGTTGAGACAAAAGAGGGAGGCCTCAGGGACAATCTCTCACCCCGAGGGTACCAAATAAGTCCCTGGTGCCCCGCTGGCACCAGAGTCATGACGGGGTGGGGGCATATCTGCTGAAGGGCAAGGGGGGTGAGTTGGTCCCCAGCTGGTAGAGGGGTCGGGGGGAATGTCAGCTCACAGAGCCAGCACCCCACCACCCAAGATCCCCCACTCTCAGCAGCTCCTGAAGGGGCCTCGCTGCCGGTTGGCACAGGCCTGCAGTGTCTCTCGGATGCCCATCTGCCAGTCTTTCACCAGGTCCACTGGAGTCACCGCCTCCTGCCAGAACAAAAAACGGCATCAGAGAGCTCTGCCTGCCTCTCCGCTTCCTGCCTCAAGCTGGAAGGCCAGGAAGAAGCAGAAAGAAGCCTTCCAATCTCTCTTTTAGGGGTGGGGAGCCTGAGACATGCCAGGTGTTGTGGCAGGACTGACCACAGGGCAGCAGGCTGCACCCTGGAGAGCCGCGGCTTCCATGCTCCCCACACTACAGGCTCAGCCTGTTTGGGCTTCTTGACAGATGGGATGGCAGGCTATGGCACAGGCCCACCGCTGGCTGCAGAAGGCAAGCAACGGGGGCTTTTCTCGCCCAAGCAGCAGCCTCTACCCGTCCTCGTTTAGTTCTCACTCTGCCAGTAAATCTGCCTGGGCTTCTGAGTGCAGGTATGGACAGTCATTAAAAAAGCCCTCTATACTGGTGCTGAGAAGGGTTCTAGACTGACCTTTGCCCTGAACTGCTACCTTTCTATGTGAAGGGCCCTTTTATGCAGGAGCATTTAGCATCTGAAGCTATCACCTGCAGCCTGCTATGATACAGCCCAGACACAAGTTTACAGACTCAGTGAGCCCAGAGTAGACTAGGCCTTAGAGTGGTGCAGAAAGCAAATGGTACATTTGCACCAAGGAGCAGTGCCATCGTACCCACACCACACAAGCTCTGGGGGCCCAAGAATCTTCCCTGCTTGCTGCCCATTCTGAAAGGGTGGTAAAACCTCCCCGCTGTCCATGCCTCACCTCATTCTGTATGGCCAGGTTTGCCCCGTACATCAGCAGTGTCTTCACAGCCTTGAAGCGTCCCAGCCTGACTGCGTCGTGAAGGGGCGTGTCTCCTTCCTGGGCAGGGGGAGGCAGAGTAAGTGCGCATGGCCTCCTCCACACCAGGGCCAGTCAAAGGGCAGATTCTTAGCTGGGCAGAAGAGCTGCTGCTTTGCATGCAAAAGGATCTCTGGGTCGATCTCCGGCTAAAAGGATCCCAGGCTAGGAAAAAGCTCTGCTGGAAGTCTCAAGGACCCACGGAAAATGGCAATGAACAAACTGACCTGGGCTAGAAGGATGAATGCTCCAACTCAGTAAAAGGAGGGCTGTGTGCAGAGTGTGTCAGATAAAAAAAAATCTGTGTCTTGCATATATTATGCAAACAAGCGCAATTGCTTTTATTTTGCATAATTTCTTCTGCTAAAGCAAAGAGCTCACTGTGAGGCGAGGGCCATTTCTGAAAGTGCTTGAGGATACACCCCAAAGTGCCTGGAAGGAAAGACCATCAGAAGAGCCCTGCAGCTGGATCAGGCCAAAGGCTCGTCTGGTCCAGCATCCCATCCTCAAGGGCCATCCAGACACCAGAGAAACCTGAGCAGCCCCTCACTCCTCGCAGGGGCTTCCCAGCATTCAGAGGCATAGCTCCTCTGGCGGCAGGGGGAGAACTCAGCCGCTGAACTCAGGAGGGTTTCTGCTGCCAGCTCGCCTCCCAAAAGCAGTGCAGACTTTCGGGCAGAGCCAAAACGAGGGCTTGGCCACCCCAGCTGCTCCCCACAGCCCAGAGGCAGAGAGCACCCCTCCCCTCCATCTCATACCTTGTCTTGCGCATTGATGTTTGCCCCGCAGGCAATGAGGTGCTCGGCGCAGTCACTGTGCCCTGTCCGGACGGCCACGTGCAGGGGGGTGCTCCACAGCTGCCAGAGAAAGAGAATTCCTCAGAGCCCACCCCGTTGTCCCGGTGGGGACTCCGTCACAGAGGCAGCGCCCCCCCCAGATGGGGCAGACAGCATTGGCTGAGGCTGCTCACCTTGTCCCGTGTGGAGATCTTGGCTCCCCTGCCCATCAAGCGCTTGAGGATCTCCAGGTGCCCCCCACGACAGGCCCAGAGCACAGGGGTCGCGTCCAGCTGTGTCAAAGCAGAGCCCACTCATTATAGGGAGAAGATCATTTGGGGCACAAGAAAGTCTGGCTGCACAGGAGCGGGGAGGTGGGGAAGGGCAGTCTGTGGCATAAAGCAGCCTTCGCCAATGGGTGCCTGCCACATTTTGGACTACAAATCCCATCATCTTCAGCATCATGCAGCCGTGCTGGCTGGGGCTCTAGGGAGCTGTGCTCTAAAGCATCTGGAGGGCACCAGGTTGGCAAAGAAAATGGTGGGGTGTGTGTGTACCCTTCCTACTTTTTGGAAAGGGTCCCAACCTCTCCCTCCCTGCCTCTCTTTCCCTCTTCAACCACTAGAGCTTCAGCCAGACAGGAGAGCGCATGCCTGTCCTCTGGGCTGGAATCATGGCCCCAACGACAGCCAACCTGGCTTGCTCCTGCTTTTTAGCAATTTTAAGCCAGTGAGTGAAGTTAAAGTAGCGATTGATGGGTACGTTTTTTCCAGCAGCAGGTGTCAGGAATCCCTGGGTGCTCACCATGTCTCTTGGTTCCAGCTTGGCCCCAGCGTCCAACAGCTTGTCCACGATCTCTGCATGGCCCCGCAAGCAGGCCCGGTGCAGGGCTGTACATCTGAACTGCAGGAGGAAACACAAGGGAGCACCTTGGTTTGACGGGTCGGCACCCTGCAAGCCTGCCCACCCCTTTCACATCCACCCCGAGGGTCTTCTGTGATGGATACTTGGCACAGCCCATCAAGCCTAAACAGCATCTCCTGGGGCTGGGGAGCTCCTTCCTAGTGTAGAACTGCACATTACTCTAGGATAGCCTTTGCCAACCTAGTGCCCTCCAGACGGTTTCAGTTACAACTCCCATCAGCCACAGCCAGCACTGGAGGGCACCAGGTTGACAAGCCTGCTCTAGCAAATGCAGACCTTTGTCAAAGTTATGCGACTTGAGGGACAGGGCAATGGGATGTTTGTAGAGGAGAACTGCTGGGAAGAAGGGCGCTTCTCCCTTCCACTGATTCCCCCTCTCCACGCGTATCTCCACCCTCACTGCCAGGCTTATAGCCCAGCAGAGGAAACACTTCAGGGTAGGGGGACCTGGAAGAAGGATGTGGCAGGGAGGGAATTCTCCTTTGCAGGGGATTTTACCCCTGCAGTGAAACACATTTGCCTGTGGGAGCCAGGAAGTCATGGAAAAGGCTTGTAGCGCCACCTGGTGCCTCGCTGACCTCGGTGACCTGCATGTCCGTGCCTTGCAGTGTATTAAGTGCATAGCCTTATATGGAGTTATGTCCCCCCTCTGGGCAGTGATGACCCTATATGGTGATGGGTGTAATAAAAGCCTTGACCGGATGTAGGTAACGTGAGACATTGGCAAACGGCCATGCTACAGGAGAGAACAAAGGATAAAAAAAAGTGACCGGAGAGGGAGAAGAAGTTGGAATGAGCTGCCCTCCGTCCATGAAAATATTGCTGGCTCTCTGTGTCTTCATTTTATGCTAAACAAGCGCCATTTGTGACGGCTGGTTCCGACATTTGCCTACAGAGAAACTGGTGATCAGAGCCACATAGCAGCTTTGACAAGAATTTGTTACTTTGGGGTTGGGGAAAGACAGCTTCATTCACCATGAACCATGACATTTTGAATCCCCTCCAAACCAATGGCAAAGTTTTGTAGTTGTTTTGTAGGTTTTTGATACATCAAACAGAGGTTCATAGTTGATACTGTATATCAATTACTCAGTTTGGGGGGCTACAAAACGTGGGGTTCATGCTACAAAAACCCATGAAACGACTACAAAAGTTCAGCACCCGTATGGAGGGGACCCAAAATATTGGGGTTTGTAGTGAATGAAGCTGGGGAACACCAAAGGGGAAGTTTTATTTCCACCAGGGGGTTGTCTGCTTCTGGTGCCAAGCAGCTTAAAAAGTTGCTGAGCAACTGTCTCCGTGTGAACATATTGTGCAGGGATGGTCTGCCTCTGACTGCCAGATACCGAGAATCAAAAGTGGGGAAGAGAGGGCTCTTGTGCTCAGATCCTGCTTGCGGGTTTCCCACCGACATCTGGCTGGCCCCTGTGAGAAGAGGATGCTGGACTAGATGGGCCACTGGCCTGATCCAGCAGCAGGCTCTTCACACAGACGTTAAACGATGTAGTGATGCCACCAACTTGGATGGCTTTACAAGAGGACAGGACAAATTCATGGAGGAAGACAAGGCTCTCCTTGGCTGCTGGCCACAAGGGCTCGGCTCTCTCCCTGCTGAGAGGCAGCGTGAGTCTGCTGGCCATCGCACGCAGAGAGACATCTGGCTTGGCCACTAAGAGAACAGGATGCTGGTGGGCCTTTGGCCTGATCCTGCAGCCACGCTCCACTTGCACTCTTGTGGATGGATATTTTTGATACAAGCTGCAGATAGCAAAGGGCCATCTTAGCAACCATTCATCGTGAGAGAGAGAAGCAAGAACCACACTTCTGAGGTGATGCCTGGCACAAAACACCTGGAATTTTAAAACCATCCTTTGGGAATGATTGTTTTCCACTGATGCAAATTTAGACAGATGTAATCAATCAACTCAAACTCACGCATTGAATCAACTAAGATGGCTTTAGTGAGGCAATGGTACATCTGCGGCTGGATCTTGGGGTTGTTGGCGCATGGGGGGGGGCAATCAAATGACCATCCCAGAGAGTGGCAGCTGATGGAAGAAGTGACCAAAAGGCCCGACGTTGGTCCCTGAGCTGGCAGGGCTACCCCAGGCCCCTCCAGAACTGGCACTCATCACCGCAGCAACATCCTTCCTTTCAACTTATTTTTTATAGTTGGGGGTGGAAGCCTGAGCTCATGTTGTTATTTTTACTGTAAAATATATTATCCTCTTCTACACCAAAATGAGGCTATTCCAAAGTTAATGTGCTTTTGCATCAGGGCAGGAGGAAAAGCAAACTCAATTTTATTCCAGGAGCCTCGGTAGTGCCGTGATTTAAGTGAGTTTGGAATGCAAAGCTGCATATGCTGGGTCTTTTTTGTTTTTTATCATCAGAGCTGGCAAACTGCTTTTTGCTGCTGTTTGGCCTAATGCATCAGGAATGTGGAAGCGCTTATAGTGCAGGCAGGGGACGAAGGAGGGAAATGTTAATTGTGTGTTTCATAACTGAGTGTCTAAAGGGGGTTCCCCATAAGACCATTCAATCCAACCAAAGAAAACCAAGGCAGCTGCCTCCAATGGAGAGAATCCTGGGGAGCAATTTGGGGAGGCAGAGAGGCCTGACCGGGGGGGGGGGCTGATTCCAGCGAATGCTGTGAGAGCCCCTGATGCTGCAGCTGTGATGAAAGCTGCAGAGTTGTGGACTTAAGTGAAATGATCTAAAACAACCACACTCCCCAGAGAAGATCTCCTGCAGAGTGAGCGAGAGTTGCGCAATATCAGGTAGGTTCCTTTCAGTGGGGCTTGTGCAAGAGAACGTCCCAGCAGATTTCACCCTTTAAGGCTGAATAAAAGGGGAGGTGCTTTTTGGCTCTTGGCACCAATATATCTTGTGCAAATTTGCCTCTTTCTCCCTTCCTTCGCTAATATCCTCCACCCCAGCTGCCATCCTTGCCTTTGCCGTAGGTTCCCTGGACTGACCCCCATCCCCCTTTCCCTGTTTCATCATTAGGCAAATTCCGGATGAAAGCAGGAGGCTTGCGTTTCTTAGCACCCCCTTTACCTTGTCGTGAGCGTTGGGGTCCCCTCCATCTGCCAGGTATTTCTCAATCACAGGAATCCGGTTCTCCAGTGCTGCTTGGAGAAACTGCACTGGACCCACAGGCTCTGTCTATAGAGGAGAGGGATAGGAGTCAAACTGCTTTTCCACAAGGTGCCTGTCCCCTTTTGAAGGAGAGGGGACACTCAGTCTGCCTTGTCCGCCTTCACCCCACCCCAAAACTAAGCAATACTACTACTACTACTACTAATAATAATAATAATAATAATAATAGAGTTTTTTCATTGAACAATGTACAAATTCTGTTTAAATAATTAATAATTTTACTAATAATAATTCTACTAATAATTTTACTTACAAAAAGAAAGGTTTAGTTGGTGCCTCAGAGATAACAATATGGCTGTTCCTTTGCAAAGTCTGCAGCCAACTTGCTTAGCCCTGAAGGTGGATGGACAGGCACAGCCCTACCATTAGGCAGAGGGAGGCATCTGCTTCAGGTGCCAATGCTGGTGGGCAGAGCATCCATCTCCCAGCATTCCCCTGAGGACCCTTAAGCCAGCCTCTGCTCCCAGGGATGCGGAGGAAGACACTGTCCTGCTGGTGGTGTGGAAGGTGAAACTTGAATTCCAGGTGTGGAATGTGATGGCACCATCTTGCCCTTTGCTTCAGGTAGCAAAATGTCTTGTCCCAGCCCTATAAAGGGGACCTCTAAAGCCGATCTGGGTATGTTGAATAAGTTCATATGAGAGATGCACCAGCCCCTAATTAATTTAGGGCTTGCAAGGGGGCAGCACTTTGAATTGCACCCAAAAATAAATTGGAAGCTGTCTTACGATGGGACCCAGTTGGCACCATAGTGCTGATCACAGACAGTCCCACAGGCAGTCTATCTGGGATGCTATCCAAGCATGAATACCTGTGACTGACAAGACCAGGTTTTTCTGAGAAGAGATGCAATTGGTGGTGCACCAATGCAAGAACCTTTGGGGGATGAATGCCTGCCAAGCTAGGTCCAAGCCACAAACTTCCTCTTGCAGGGGAAGCGCAGCCCCCTCCCTCTAAAGCCGTGTGTCAAGGCTACCCCTGTGCTGAAGCACACAGTCTTCTGGCAAAGCCTGTGGAGACTCACCATCACTTCTGGCTCCCGTTCTTTGGGGCGGACCACTTTCTTCAACCTCTTCTTATTCTTGCGAAGCTTGACAATCGCCTCCAAGTCCTGCAGGCTGTCTAGCTTCAGCCTGGAATTGCCGAGTGTCTCAAGCTGGAAAGGAGACGGGGGAAAGGAGATGTGTGGGCAACCGGCTTCCCCCACAGCACCCGCCGCAGTGTGGGGGGGGGAGGCCTGGGACGCCCAGTGGGAGAGCTTTGCAAAGCTTCCATTCATTTCAGTGGGGTTTGTGCAGGGCTGCTTCGCAGCAGGGAGGTGTTTGCTTGTCTGCCACAGCTCAACTTATCCTGCCACTCTTCCTGGTGCTCACTGTATTCCGCTTCACAGTAAACCAGGGGTGGAGAATGGGATCCAGCCACTGGGCAGGATGCTGACAGCCCTCAACCTGCGTGGGCCACTTGGGGTGCAGCCACCCACCTGGTATCCCCTTGACAGGGAGCAGCTGCAACTGCTTTTGGGCAGGACCCGGCTCCATGCAGGGGCTCCGACTGAGAGCTCCCGAGTAGAACCAGACCCAGAGAGAGTCATCAGGAGTGCCCTTTCAGGCTCCCAATTGTCTGTTGCTTTCTTGAAAAAAAATGTTTTGTTATGAATGTGTTTGCTGCCCTGAGCTCATTTAGGAGGAAAGACAGGATATAAATTCAATCAATCAATAAGTGCAACAAAGCCAACAGAATCTTGTGGCCCTTGAAGGGCTAAGAGATCAAAGCAGAAAGAGGATTCAGTCTTCAGTGACATTTAATAGAAGCAGAGCATCGAGACCATAATCTCCCTGAGGGTAGACCAGTTTTTCTTAACCTTGGGTCTCCAGCTGTTGCTGGACTACAACTCCCATCATCCATGATCACTGGCCCTGCTAGCTAGGGATGATGGGAGTTGTAGTCCAACAACAGCTGGAGACCCATGTTTGAGAAACAGTGGTGTGGACGATCCATTGCATTGCTATTCCAGATCTGTATTCCTATAGATTGCTCAACCATTCTCTAGAATGTGCTCTAGCCATTTCCTTTTCTGTGGCCTGTCTCTCTTTGTAGGAATCAGCTCTATCACTTTCACTCTCTCCTTCCCAAATATCATTGCCTTTACATCTGTTTATACACATACTCCAAACTGCTACAGGAAGCAGGGTGTGTGTGATCACATTCAGAGAATACAGTGCAGGGAGTATTTAGTCCTTTCCCCACATACAATAGTCCCATAGCATTTCCCCCTCCCCACATTGAAGTCTGGGGGGAAGTGGGGTGGACCTGCCCAGTTGACTACATTGAGTTAGAGCTGCTCTTCCAATTCCAGCTTCAAGCAGAACTGCCTAAGTTTGCTGCTGCTAAATCATCCATGTCTGGAAGCACCTTTCAAGTGCCATGTGATGCCTTGGGAACGCAGGTCAGCCTCTAGCTCAGCTGCCTGAAGAGATGCCAGGTGCACACCTTTGCGTTGTCTGTTTATTTATTTATTTATTTATTTATTTATCTATTTTTAAATGATATTTATTAGAAGTTTAAAGATTACAGAAAAAAGAAAAGAGTACAACAACAAAAATGACAAAACATACATTACAATACATAAAAAGAAAAAAAAATACTTAAAAACCAATACAACAATACAACAAAAAAAAGAAAAACACACACATCCAATATTCCATATCTCTATCTTTCATTTGCTTGTTTCATCGACCTCCTCACACCTCCCTTCTTGTTTAGTTAATTATTACAGCAAATTCTTTCCATCTTTCTCAATTTTTGTTGGGTAATTTATCTTAACAGTCTAACCTATTAATTAACTCAACAAATCCTTTCCATCTTTCACTATATTCTGTCATTCAATTTACCTTAATTTATTTTAACCTTATCTTACCATAAAATACCTTAAAACTTAATACTTATTTATACATAACTCCTTATATCATTTCACCTTTGCGTTGTCTGTTTAACCCATTGACTGCTGGGCGACTAAGGAACAGCTGGCCAGCTGGCTTGCCAGACAAGAGCCTTCTTGTCCACTATTAGCCGCCCTGAGCCCAGTCTTGGCTGGGGAGGGCAGGGTATAAATAAAAAATTATTATTATTATCATTGCCCCCTTGTGGCTGCGGAGGAGATAGGCCCCTGCCCGCCCACCCACCCACCCCGAGCAAGGTGGAACTTCTCACCCACCTTTTTCTTCTTCGCATCTTCTGCCTTCTGCTTTTCCTTGCTGACTGCTTCCCACACGCCTGCCGGGCCTGACCGCCATCTCCCTGGCTCCCTGGCCGCGCTTCCTGCCAGCACTTCAAAACCTCTCCCTTTCTCGTCATGTCGTTCGCCACTTACCTGGCAGGAGAGGGACAAAGGAAGGAGCATGAGGACTGTCTTGGGCCCCTCTCTCTCTTCCAGTAAAGTGTCTACCGTATATCCCTCCTTCTGGCCGCAAATTCTGGTGGTGGGTGTCAATAGCTCAGCTGTGGAGCATCTCTTTGCATGCAGAAGGTGCCGGGTTCAATCCCCACCATCACCAGGTAGGGCTGGGAATGTCTCCTGCCTGAAACTCTGGAGACCTGCTGCCTGAAAGCACTGACATCACTGAGCTCACTCACTATAAGGCAGTTTCCTGCGCTGCTGGGATTGTAGCACTAGGTTGCACTAGGACCTGGGAGACCAGGGTTCAAATCCCACACGCAGCTGTGAAACTCACTGGGTCCCCCACCTTGATCTCCTTGTTGGAAGGAGGTGATATAAAGACAGTAAGGACAGCAATGAATTCATAAAATGGACCAGGGCAGGGCAGGAGGGCGGGAAACAGGGTGGGAGGGAGCGGGAGAGCCCCAAGTTTTGCAGGTGTACAAAATAACGTAAGGAGGTCATCTCACAAATGCACCAAAGGTGCACAATCTGCCTCAGTTGCATCAGAATCCACAGCAGCCTACCTGGCCCCAGAATGCCCATTGAAGTTCTTGAGCTGCTCTTAAGCTCCCACCCTGCCTACAGCCAGTTGCTCCCTCAGCCCAGTTTATATGTTTCTGCAAGTTGCTGGCTCTCCCGCCAAGTGGAAAAGGTGCCCAGTGCCAGGGCCAACTTGCAACATCCCCCCCCCCCCCGCCGCCTGCTCCTCCTGGCCCTGATGAAGCAACTTCTATTTATATGGATATGTATATAAGCAGCAGCCCCTGGCTCAGGAACACACATCATGTGGGGCGAATGCTCCCTCCTCCCGCAAGGGCAAAGTCAGCATGGTCCGCAACAGAGCCGACTAGAGACATTTGGGCGCCTGAGGCAGGACGTCTCCAGGGTGGAAAATCCCCAGGCACTAGCAGGTGACTGGGCAAACTTCATTCCGATGAAGCCCCAGGCTCTCATGCCCGTCCCAGTCATTTCAAGAGGGCGATCATTTCCTGACTGCTTGTAGCTCAGCATGGTCTGCCCACACCGAACCTCACGCTCTCCCTGGCCAAAGGAAAAGGCGCTGCTTGACATGTCCATACAGAGACAACAGGAGACACGTTGGCAGCGAGGCAGAAAACCCAAACACCTAAGAGCCCTTCAAGTCCAGCATCCTGTTCTCCCTGTGCCACCCAGATGCTTTTAGGAAGCCCAAGGGGAAACCAGCAAGAAACACTGGGGGTCCAGGACTCTGGGGAGCAGAAGAGAGCCAGTGGGGTGGGGTGGAACTGGGCTCAGTCCTGGGAGGCTGGGGCTTACATTCAGTCACAAAGCTCACCGGCCTCTCAGCCTCACCTACTTCGCAGGGTTGTTGTATTAAACAAGGAGCAGGGAGAACCATGTGTCTCACCCTCAGCTCGGGGGGTGGGGTGGAGTTGGGCTATAAATGTAGCAGATTAATTGTTGAAAAAACTCTCCTAGCTTGCAATGGCCTTGTGCCATCACTAGTACCCACTGATAGCCTCATCCTCCAGGAATTAGTCCATTCCTCTTTTAAAGCCTCCATTATGCTTCCTTTCCAAAAATATATATTACAAATACATTTGGTTGCCTGGGATGGACTCCAAAGGGTGCCCCACTCACCCCCCACCTTCTGCTGGGGTCAACACTAAAAAGTCTTGCTGCACCTTTTAGGCTCTGCTCCTGCCATTCTTGATTCCCCCCTCCCCCACTTTCAGAGGACCCCCCTGAAGCTTGGCAGGGATGACCCCAGAAATAATGAAGGCAGCCTACAGGTTAGAAAACACACCCCACACACTTAAATAGTGTTTCAACATGTGCCACCTGAGGCAGCCCCCCCCCCCGGCTGCGCAGCGCCTGAGCATAACATTGCTGGAGTAATGCGATAGCTTCTAGGCCTTGCGGCTGCCACAGGCCAAGCATGAATGGAATGGCTCTTTTCTCCCCAGTTTCAGTCACTCCAGCGCGGTCAGCAGCTCCCTTCCTTCTTAGGTCTCCAGGGAAGAGGACACCCAGAGGTCTTGGGTGACCTCCATGAGGCAGCAAGCAGAGCTTCAGCTGGACACAGCAGCCAAAATAAGACACCAGCTGCAGCGCCAGGCCATCCTCACGCCAGGGGAGGCCTAGCAGGCTTGTTTGTGACATCCTTCCCATCTGCACATATAAGGCAGTTGAAGGAGTTCGTTCACTGTCTCAGCTCATTCAGTAAAGGAACATAGGAGGCTGCCTTCGACCGATCCATCTAGCTCACTATTGCCTGCACTGACTGGCAGCAGCATTCGGGGGGGGGGGTTAAGCAGGTTCTTGCCCAGCCCCACACCTGGAGATTCCATTGGGGATTGAACCAGGGACCTTCCGCATGCAAGGCAGATACTCCACCACTGAGCCACGACCCGTCCTTTGACAGCAAATTGAATTGTTGTTTCATACAAGAGACTTCCTCAGCCCCACCTGGAGATATGGGGCATTGACCCTAGAGCCTTCAGGTGGGCTACCATGCAGCTGCAGCAGGCACACCCCCATCACCTGCTGGTCGGCTGTATTGTACTGCATTCCTATTGAAATGAGCACCATTCTAAATTTGCATGCATACAACTAAATGGCCATATGGAAACTGCTGGCCCTTTTGTCTTCTTTTGGGGGCAATGCATAGCTGGCCACCCCAACCCACACCACCCGACACTTGGAGTGTCCTGGATCAGAGAACCTTCCCACCCAAATAAGGTCTGTGGCAGGTGTGGGAAGAAAGCACATTGGAGCCTTTGAGTAGATTTCTAGGTGATATGCAGTCTGCCTGCAAGGGTTTCTAACTAATTGCCTCAAGAATTGCAACAATCCAGCTCAGTCCTGGTCCTGGTCACAAATTCCTGGGCTGAGCAGACACTCACAGAGACATGGTGTTCCTTAATTCTCAGCCTGGCACCAGACTGTTTTGCACCAAACTGTGGCTGGTGTACCTCAAGGCTCTCATTAAGAAGACAAAAGCCACAGCCTGCCGTTTGCCCATCTCTGAGCTGAGAGCCCATCCCACTACTCCCACTTTGCTCTGGATTGCCCTCAGCCCCCCACCCAGCCCCTCCACCGCTTACCAACTGCTGAATGCTGAAGATCTCCATGGTCCCCCCTACCTCAGAGCCACAACGCTCACTCCTTGGCCACCAGGCACAGCAGCTGTTTTTATTCCACCGGGGGGGGGGGGAGAGAGAGACTGCCTTTCGGCTTTGCTCCAAAGCTCTCCCTCCCCTCCAGCAATCTGGATAATTCAGGTGCCATGTCACGCGGGCTAAAATAACTTCATAGTTTAAAGGTTTCCAGAGCTTGCAATGGGATTCCCAGGTCCAGAGTGGGAAACGTGTGCAATTGTTTGGAATGAGAAGAGCTCCAGATAAATCAGAGCCGTTGGGAGTCCCATGACATTGGGCACAGGCTCCCTGCCACCATGCTACTTGCTCCCAACGGTGCTACATTGGCTGCCAATAAGCTACTGGCCCCAATTCAACATTGTTGGCCTTGACACACAAAGCCTGGACCAGCTGGGGGCCCAAGTGCCATAGGAAGCTGCCTTAGACCAAGTCAGCCCATTAGCCTATCAAGCTCAGCGTTGCCTACACAGACCGGCAGCACTCTCCAGGGTTTCAGGCAGGGGGCATTCCCAGATCTGCCTGCAGATGCAGAGGGTTGGACCTGGGAGCTTTTCCATGCAAAGCAGATGCTCCGCTGCTGTGCTGTGGCCCCTGCCCAGTTGCCGGCAGGAACGCCTTCCCCAGAACTTGCACTCTGGATTCAGGGTGGGTTAAAGAAGCGGGGAGCAGGTGACCATGTGTACAGGCAGGTGGAGTGAAGCCTGGATCTAAAAAGCTGCAGCCCAAACGGCAGCCTCTGCTTCCTGTGGATTTGCAGACAGTTGAGCAGAAGAGATCCTCCCAGAGCAGTTTAACAACCAATCCCTTTTCACAGGGGACTCTGGGAATTGTAGCTCTGCGAGGGGAACAGGGGGTCTCTAACAACTCTCAACACCCTTAACAAAGCACAGCTCCCATCATTCTTTGAAGGGAAGCAACACCTGTTGACATGTAAGGTGTGGATGTGGTCTATGTCTACAATGTTTGATCATGCGTCATTGTTTTACCATTAAACCTGGGGATTTTGGGTTTTTTAATTGTAAATCACCTAGGAAGCAGTTTTTTATCAGACCAAAAAAACTGAATGAATGAATAATCTGGTCCAACAAGAGGGGAAATTTCAGAAGTAAATTACTCTCATGGACTGAATATAAATTACAAAAACGCATGAGATCAATAACACTTAAGAGGATTACTGAAGAAATGAAGTAAGACCTTTGAGCAGCTGAAACCAGGCAGGGAAACTTGTGGCTGGTCAGATGCTGTCAGCCCACCACCATCCAAAGCATCCAGGGAGCACCAAGTTGGCGAAGGGTGTCCCAAAGTGCCGCTCATTTGTTACTGTGGGCTGCAAGGCTTCTCTTTCTACCACCATATTGCTGGGTGGAGAAACGACGTGGCTGAAAACCTCTGGGGCGGAAGGCACTGGAGCCCCATTCCGCTCTGCCAGCCTCCTGCTGCTGCTGTCAAAGTCTCACAGATAAACTACTGAGGTCTGGTAGAAGGTGGGGAAGGGAGGAGGTTACAGGAATTTGAAAGCCAAGATTCTCTGTCGCTGAAGAGTTCATGTTACAGGTACAGGAGCAGGATGGAAATAGCTGCCAAATAGGATGATATTCCATCTCGTTGAGATGCTATTCCCACTGCCCAAGCGCTCAAGGTTACATAAACACTCCAGGATTCTGCTTCAGGAAGTGCAGGCATTGGGTGTTTTGGGGTGGGTAGAAGAGAGCTGCTTTTTAATTTGTCAAAAGTTGATGCAAAAGCTAGTTGAGGAAATGCATGAAATCAGAGAGTTGGTTCAATTGTGTGATGGGTGATAGGAGAGAGGAAATTTTAAATATAAAAGGCTTCCATTGCTTAAATATCTAAAAAAATATTGATAGGGATGTTGACAAAGATATTTTCCATACGGTAAGATTAAGAGAATACCGTGATAACTTCATTGATTATTGACTAGATGTGTGTGTGTGTATCTCTCTATAAATCTCTATCTATACAGACACAGTCTTGGTAGTGTGATGTGCGAACAGTGTTATTATTTAGTGTTTGGTCACAGGGAATATTTCTTTAAAAGGAAACACTAAGTTGATTCAAAAGTTCAAGTGGGGAGACAGGTGAGCTCATTTCCCTTTGCTGCTCTCAGTGGCCAAGGGCACAGCGAGATCCCTCTGCTCGATAAACAGTATCCCGTTACAGGACAGTGCTGGATCAGCCGAGCCAAGAAGAGTTCATTCACCTGCTGCAACCCCCTGATGGATAAGATGCCATCGCTGGCCAGTCCTGCCCTCTCCCAGCTTCTGTATGGAGATCCAGTCTGACCTCTTTGTAAAATAATGAATGAGCAATGAAGCTGAAAGCATAAGGAGACCAGCTAAGAGAACGGTCCAGCCTCCTGGGCCATTTCATGTTCTGATCTTGCCCTATTTGAAGAGCCAGATTAGATGCAACACAAGAGACAAATGAAACAGCTCCTTCTCCAGCCTGGTGCTCTCCAGATGTTTGGGACTAGAACTCCCATCAGCCATAGCCAGCACATACTGATGCAGTTCCAACACATCTGGAGGGCACTGCGTTTGGGAAGGCTGTTGCAGGGCCTTAATTACATTTTAATGCAGCTACACACAAGGTTGGTGGGTCCAAATTTAATTGGAGCAGCAGAGAAGGGCCAGCTGAACCTTTTCCCTGGGGGATGTTATATGATCAACCATCCCCTCCCCATCTCACCCCAGTCATTGTTCCATCCACGGGAAGAAATATATTGGGCCCATGTATCTTTTCAAATGTAACAAGAAAAACAGCTGGGATTGATTTTTAGTAGAGCTTGCAGGAAAAGGGTTAAACGTGTGCTCCATTCACATTCAAAGGCCCACCTCATTTGCACTGAAGTTTCTTTTTTTAAGTAGGAGGACATTTCATACGCAGCCCCATGTCATGTCTGGTATAGTCAACTCCCCTACCTTGCCACTTCTGTGAAAGTGTGAAGCAAACTCATGGCTCTGACGCCATCTCCACCTACTGGATGGGTCTGTTGGGAGCTGGGTTTGGTGCCAGAGGCCTCTTGGTCGCTGCAGCAGAGCTCCTTTTGCACACTGATGAGCTGGTACAGTCCAAAAGGGCAAACTTCGCCATTTTGAGTCTGCAGGCTGTAACTCATCTGGAAGGGTGGGGATGTGGTTGTTTGTTAAGAGCTGGAATTCATGTTTTGGATAGCCTGTGCTTTTCTTTAGGTGTGTACTGTTATTGGGAGTCTCTGATGGAGCTGATTAAGAATTACATGTGACTAAGCTTCTGGTGAGAAAAAAGTTCTAAAGGGGAAATAAAATGCATACTTTTGATTCAGGCTTAGTCATCCTTACTTCGTCCCATTAAAAATCAATGGGTTTAAGTGAGTCCTGTTATTTTCTATGAGTCTTCTCTAAGCAGGACTATACTAGTGGCCAAAATTGTGGAAACCTTTTGGAGAAAGTAGTGTATTTCCGAGGTTTGACGGCTCACAACACCACTTTTTTTTGGAGCAATACCATAAAATATTACATCAATGGAAAGATAATTTAATGAAGAATGCAATGCAACAATGTTTGTTTAATTATCAAAAGTTATAGCCAGATAACCAGAAAAAGAAGTGTTTAGAGAGCCAATCAGGTGTCATCTTGTTTTGGCAATGATGGCTCACAACACTACTTTTTTGGAGTAATATCATAAAATTATGTATCAATGGAAAGATAATTTAATGAAGAATGTAGTGCAATAACTTTTATGAAGGATTATTTATTACAACATAAATAAGGAGGACATTTGTCAGTATGTTATGTGATTGCTATCAGGTTGGTTGGGGGTTTTTTTGTTCTTTCATTTAGTGAGCTTGTAAAACATAATAAAATTAAAGAAATGGTGCAAAGAGTTGACTAGTCACCCAGGTGGTGATGTAGAATAGTACTATTAAGTGAAGAAGGCTGCAGTTATGAAGAAATTAGAAGAAAAATTGGTGGAAACTCAACCAAAGATCGAAACAAAATAAAAAAATTCCTTCCAGTAGCACCTTAGAGACCAACTAAGTTTGTTATTGGTATGAGCTTTCGTGTGCATGCACCCTTCTTCAGATACTTTTCCCAGAGCCCCAAATCCAGGGACAGACACCGTAAGCCGATTGAAGGAGCTTGACTGAGGAAGCCCACCTGCCTAACACCTGAGCAATGGCCATTCCCAAGATCCAGCTGCTTTTAGGGGTGGGAGTAGCCCTCCCAAACCCCACAAACTCTCCTTCAGCAACCACAGGGACCCCAGCATAATCCCAGAGTCACAGCCAGGGCCCCCTCTTACTTTGGTGGCTCCAAAATCTAGGCCAGGCCTTGAAGAGGAGCAATTAGAACTGTGAGACTGCTTACACCTCCTACACAGATACAGGTCACAAGTGGACTTGGTTCACACACGCCTTTGTAATACCAGAGGACGTTAGCAGGATGGTGGAAATGTTTGCTTAAGAGAGCACCTCGTCTCCTCAACAATCAGTTCCCTACTCCAGAAGCTTCCTCAAGTCCTCGTTCGTGTCAGGAACCAAATCACAGGCGCGGCGCAGGCTCTTGTCCTGCAGGCGTCTCAGGTCAGAGTTGCGCTCCAGGAAGAGGAGGCAGAGGTCTCCGTGTCCATTCTCGGCTGCCTGCAGGGAGGGAGGGAGGGAGGGGTCAAGGGTTGCCCCTTGTTTATTGCATTTATAGCCCCACCTTCTTTCCTCTAAGGAGCTCAAGGTGGAGTACATCGTTCCCCTGCCTGCAGAGTTAATCCCCACAACAACCCCGTGAGGGAGGTCAGGCCGAGAGACAGCGACTGACTCCAAGGTCATCCGGTGAGCACCATGGCCAAGTGGGGATTTCAACCCTGATCTCCCAGGTCCTAGGCGAACATGCTCTAACCACTGTACTACTCTAGACCTTGGCCTCCCACGGAACAGCCAGACTCAAGGGACGGTCCTCACGGGAGGGAGGTGCCAATGGGAGCAAGGGAAGGACATCGCATCCCCTCCCCACCTCCCCACCCCAAATAAGGAAAACCCACAGCCCATTAGGAACTGGAGGGGCAGGCGCTTGGCCTTCCTTGGGGCTTGTCTGGAATCAGCCCTGGGACTGTGACCCTCCTTGCAGAAGGCTTGCCTGAACAGAGAGACGTGTGGGCAACTTTTGCATGGCCAGAAGGCAGCTGACTGGAGAAAGGGAAGAGTCCCTTGTGTTGCTCCACCCACTCTGGCCCCACCCATACAACCGAGTGACCCTACGGGCAAAGGTGTCTCGGTGCATCACTACACATTTGCCTGCGAATGAATGGAACGGCCAAGGAGCCACTCGGTACCCCACACCTTGTGCAAGCAGGTCTTCCCGTCGTCATCGGTGGCTGCTGGATCAGCCCCGTAGGTCAGCAGGAGCTCAGCCACCTCCGTGTGCCCACAGTAAGAGGCTCGGTGGAGAGGGGTGGCCCCGCCATGGGTCTGAGCGTTGCAGGCAGCTCCGCTCTCCAGGAGGAATCGGCAGACGTCATAATGGCCATTGCGGCTGGCGTAGTGCTGCAAGGCAGAAAACGAGGCATCTTGGGCTGGTCTGGGCCATTTCAGGCAAGCCACCTTCCCTTGCGCCTTGTAAGATGTAGGATGTAAGATGTGGGGCAGCTGAAGATGCAGCTGGATTGAAAGGGCCTTGGCAGCCACCTGCAATCATGGGGCTTGCAACATGCCATGCACAAGTGCCTGCAGATCCCCACTTCTGCCATCCCTGCCCCACACCTCCACGGCCTCCGTGTTGGGCAGGTGTGTGTGGCTTGGTTGAAACAGTCTGGTGGGTCAAATGGGGAGGGACTTGCTCAGCATGATGTCTGGGGCTTCGCAAACAGAAAACAGGAGAAGCTGCCTCAACCCCCTCAGGCCACTGGTCCACCTTGCTCAGTACTGTCTGTGCTGACTGGCAGCAGCTCTCCAGGATTCCAGATGGAGGTTTCTCCCAGTCCTACCTGCAGATGCCAGGGAATGAGCCTGGGGCCTTCTGCATGCAAGGCAGGCGATCTGGCCCTGAGCGACGGCCCTCCCCCCTCAGCTGATCCTCAGCACTTGCAAATAACTGTGCCTTTGCGTGAATGGCTCTGCAGGCAAAAAGAGGTCACCTGACATCACTGTGATGTCACACCAGCATGAATGGAGCCCACCTGACAGCAGATGCATCTTCCTTCTCATAAAAGACAGAAGGTGCAGGCACTATGCATTGTTGGGACATCTGGCAGGGGACACTAGTAGCCAACTCTCTTGTATGGTTGCATTCTCATGTATTTTTGAAATCTGACCCCCACAGTAACCTTGGAGACTTACCAAAGCTGTGTATCCAAAGGGATCTGGCTCGCTGGGATTACTGCGGTTTAGGATCTGTTTTTTGACCTTCTCAAGGTCTCCATTCAGAGCAGCACACCAAATCCCTACACATAAATAAATTTCAATTTATCTTTATATTGGCACTAGTCTGTCATTGAGCAGCCCTGTGCCTAATCACCACTCTGCATTTACCTAACGTAATTTACCTGACTATGGGTACAACACAAAAAGCTAACACAACAAACTATTTCTCAACTCGTGTCTCTCTGTCCTCAAGTCTTGTTTTAAACCACCACATTTCCCCTCTGTGTCCTTCCCTGCTTGCTCCACTCAAAGCTTTGCCACTGTTTAGAACTACCAGTTTCCCCTCTCAATACCTTATCATTGCTGCTTTACCCAAACCTCTGCCATTGTTTGAAACTATCGCTATTTTCCTCTCAGTGCCCCTCTCTGTCTTCCAACCAGCAAGCAAGAGGCATTATCAGGTCAAAATGCATTGCAGCCAAACAAGGGCCAGTGCAATGCAGGGCCAGTGAAGTGCAGCTTGGGGAGATGGGGTGGTTGGAAAAAGGGAGGGGCACAGGAAGAGTCTATTTTGCAGGCCAGGCAGAGAGGCTCAGACAGCTACATTTGGCTCCTAGGCCAGAGGCCTTCCTGCCCCTGCTCGGGACCATAACTTATCTTTTTTCTCTCCTCCAGACAGGATCAGGAGGCAAAGAGAGTTTTAGTTAAAGCTCATCTCCTTATGCCCTTCTCACCCCTCCAAAGACCCACAACAGACTCAATGCCCCAGAGCTTCTGTACCTCTCTCAAAATCCATCTCCTCCAGAGTCTGGTGAACACTTGGCACGGCCACATGGTGGGAGCAACAGGAGCCATCCTTGGAGTGTCCAGGTGACAATGCCATTGTTAGCCCTTTGAGGTTATTATTTTGGGAAGCAGCTGTAGGTCCTGCTGAAGAGGAAGAGAAAGGCTGTGACACAAAGCAGAAGAGAGGCACACTCTCTAGCACAATGTCCAGAAAGAACAATTCAGACCCCAAGATAATAATGAATGATGGAACAAGCACAGGCAAAGCTTGGGAATTGACATTTCCTAACGTATAATGCCCAGCAGGTGGCGGAGCACAACCTATGCTGGATCTTTAGCATCCAATTTCTACTGAAAGGAAGCAGGATGAAAGCAATTTTGTTCTGCATCTGCACTGTACTTTTATTCTGGTCAGTTGTCCATCTATCCAGGAATGACCAAGGTGAGGTTTAGAGCAGGGATGCCCTCCAGATGTGGTTGGACTCAAACTCCCATCATCACCAACCACTGCTCATGCCAGCAACAGCAGGCTATTAAGGCACATCCCAGATGTGGTGAATTCACCATGGCCAAGAGCAAAATGCGCCCTGGATCTTCTCACAGGGCAAAGCCTTCAGCCATTCTATTTCTCAGAGCAGGTTCAGGTTCATCCTAGTATAAGACAGCTTCCCAAAAACACTTCCCAGAGGGGTTACTGTGTTAGTCCGCCAGAGCAAAACCACCAAAAAGCCTCACGGCACCTGAACATTTTTTGGCATCTCTGTCTTGAGAGACAATGGGGTGCACCTCCAGGGGTGACGTCAAATCCCTGCATTAGCAGCACTGAAGTGACCTCCCTGGGGTGCTAGCCTGGGCAGTGTGTCTGGAGGTCCTGAGCTGCCCAGATGACAAGACCAACCTCGCTGGTGTGGACCAAAGGAAAGCACAGCAATATGTTTGGCACCAGCTTGGCTGTAGGAGTTGCCAGGAGGCGGCATAAAGGGCGCCATCGAGACTCCAGATTTCTGTAGGATTTACTCCTTAGCCTTTTCATCTCTCGAAGATGTCCCTTAACATCTTAAGAGATGTAGTGCATAAGGAATGTGTGACTGAGATCAGCACAAATGCCACAAACTTAGTCTGTTTTCACAGTGAATTATAAGCACCTTTGAGCTTCTTTCACATGGTATGTGCCAGGAACTGGGTTAGACAGACCAACAATCTGCTTTGTATGTTTTGGGGTTAGGGCCTGGCCTAGCGGGAGAGTCTGACCACTGGCCATGCAGGCTGGGATTCATGGGATGCTCAGTGGCATCTGGAGGGCCACAGGTTCCACATCCCTGAATGAAAGGGATCCGTGTGTGGTGGGAGAGAGGTTTCTTTCACTGAGACTCTAGAGAGCTATTCTCAGTCAGAATTGAGCAGAAATGGGAAGCAGGTAGATCTAGGATCTACTTGTAGGCCTTTGGATGTTGGCAGAAGATAAGTTACAGAGAATCAGAAACACTGGGTTAACGGTAGCAACAAAAAGCCACCCTCCCAATCTAGATTCCCCTGTCCAGATGAAGAAGACTTAGGATGAAAGGAAGAGTAGCTTCTTATGTGACAGCACTGTCAATGGAAACAAATTCCTGGACCAAGGACATGCTCAGAGGCACCCCGTCCCTCATTCTATGTTGCCCCAACTGAATTATTCTGCATGCAGTTCCTGTTGGGGGTCCCCAGCATCTTAGTTGAAAAAACAACAGACCCAACCAGCCTTAAGTCTGCACACCCGTTATACTTGTCCATGCAATTAACTCATTTATACAAAATATAATATAGGTTAAAAATGGTAACTGTTAAGAATTGCTATAGACCTTTTTTCTCTTTACACTTCTGGTTTTCTTTTTAAGAACTTCTTATTTGTTGCATTTAAATTTCAATAAATAATAATAATAATAATGTCTGTGCACCCACGAAGCAGACCAGCCTTTCCCAACCAGGTGTCCTCCAGATATTGGGACCATGCCTCTCCTCAGTCCCAGCAGCACAGCTGTCTGACTGGAGGAAGACGCCAGAGCCCCGCCGGGCCAGACCCAAGTCCGGCATCCTGTCCCGGGGGCGGCCAGCCAGGAAGCCCTCCAGCTCGGACCTGGAGCAAGGCGGCTTCCTTCCAGCCCCCCTGAGCCTCGAGGGATGCTGGGGGCCAGGCGGGGGGGGGACCCTGCGGCCCCCAAGAGGCGGCTCCCCTCCAGCAAGCCTGGCGCGGGGCCGGGGAGTTGTGGCTGGGAGTTGTAGTTCAGCCCCCCCCCCAGCCGGCGGGTCCTGCCGGGGGACCAGGGTCCTCTCCTCCCCCCAGGTCACGTGGGCGCCGGCTTCTCCCAAGAAAGGGAACCGGCCGCCATCTTAGCTCTTACCTGCCACGGCCGCCCGTTCCGCCCAATCGGAGAGGAGCTGGGCGGGGAAAGGCAGCCAATGCGGTCGCACGAAGGGAAGAAGACCGGAAGCAGCCCGGGGGCGGGGCGAGGGTTTCCCTGCGCGCAGTAGCGGCGAGCGACCGCTAGAGGGAGCCGGCGACTCGGGAATGGTTGGCGCGCGCGTGGCCTGCGGAGCAGCTGGGCAAAGAATGGAAATTACGCTGGGGGTTAATGCTTTTCTGGGGGGACGCATCCTCCCAAACATTTTGAGAATCTTTGTACTTTTGTCCATTTACTGTCTTTATTTTCCCCGATTTGAACTATAAAAAGGTGATTTTCTTGAATCAAAATGAGAGTAACCCCTAAACATTTTTTGAAGAAGAAAAGAAAATGCACTGGCTTAATGTAAGCCAGGACGGAGCCCTCCTCCAGCCCTTCATTGGCATTGGTATGCTGCCTGTGTGCTTTCCAAGTTGTTTGTGCATGTGCTTTTTGAGCATGTGCAGAGATTGTCTCCTCCGCTAAGCACCCCAGAGACCCACACTGAGCCTGGACACCTCCAAAGACTTTTAGTCACTGCAGGAAGACCAGCCAGTCCATTTAGAAACGACACCATTTCACTTGACGCTTGCTCTTGCCTTGGTCTCTTGAGGTGGGCTGGCATATGAGGATGCAGTGATACCTCGGTCTAAGAACAGCCCTGTTTATGAACAGTTCAGTTTACAAACTCCACAAAACCAGAAGTAGTGTCCCAGTTTGCGAACTTTACCTCGGTCTAAGAACGGAATCCGAATGATGGAAGGGCACCGGCAGCGCGAGGCCTCATTAGGGAAAGCGCTTCTCAGTTTAAAAACGGACTTCAGGAACGGATTAAGTTCGTAAACCAAGGCACCACTGTACTCTCCCAGAGACAGTTGCTGTTTGCTCAAACCTGGCAATTCACTCTCCTGTCTTCTGTCCCTTTCTTTAAAATGCTTAAATGCTTCCTTCTGTGTTTCCATCACTCTCTGGGTCTCTACAGTGTACATAAATGCACATCCATGGAAACATTGAATCCCTGCATCATTCACCATGCACAGTGAAAGGCGTTAAGAACAGTCCGACTGGTCTTCTAGGGCAGCCTCTACCAACCTGGTGCCCTCCAGATGTTCTGGAGGACAAATCCCATCGGTCCAGCCAGCAAGGCTGTTGGCAAAGGCCACTTTGAGACACCTTAAACAAAATAACGTTCCCTTGGTTATTGACTCACAGGAGGCCAGCTCAGCAGAGAAAAGGGCATAACAGCAAACAGCAGATGTTGCAAAACCCTTCAGCTCTGCATTCTTGAAGAAGGCCTGGGTGGATACAAACGTCTCTCTTTTCCTCTGTAAAAACATTTGAAAGGAAGTTGCTGGCTGGCTGTGCCCCAATCAGTCCCGGTACCATGTAGCCTGGGGTTAACGGGGACATGCAATCCAAAACTACTGGAGGGCAACAGGTTATGGGGGAAGCTGGCCTAGGCCAGTGCTTTGGAAAGTTCTTCGCTTCAGGGAAACTTTTCCACATCTATTTGTCTGCCAAGGTTCTTCTTACCATGAGCCACGGACTGGCAGCACACGGAAGAGGATTATGAGTGAAGTTCTAGGGAGCAGGCCCTCCTTTCATGTGGGATGTCAGCTGGTTATATGGGCAGGTGTTATGTACTGAGTTGAATAGGATCCAAAATGCAGCAGTCTGATTGGTCTGCAGGAGCCACCCAATCCAGCTCCAGATGGAAGTGAATCCACAACCTGATTGGCCTACAGGAGAATTCCGGAATTAGCCAATCACGTGCAGCCCATTGTATAAATAATGTATATAAAGCAGATACTTTGGGGAAACTTCCATTCCTCCTCACCACTATGAGCTGAATAAAGAGCATGAAATCCACTCTTTCAGCAGGGCTGGCCCAATATGTTTGGCACCTGAGGTCAGGGCCGGCCCACCCACAGGGCAAGGTCAGGCAACCACCTCAGGCGGCTTCGCAGACGCAGCAGGTCCCAATGTAGATACTCACTGCCCCCTTGTTCCTGATGTAGATCTTCACTCACCCCTTCTTCCCTGGCAGGGAAGGCGAGCACCATTTTGTGGTCTGCCTCAGATGCCAAAATACCTTGGGCTAGCCCTGCCTGAGGCAGCCACAAAATGGCACCACCATCCCACCAAAGAAGGAGGGGTGAGTGAAGATCTACATCAGAACAAACAAGGAGTAAAGATCTACATTGGGAAGAGGGTCGGGGAATCAAATCCACCTTGTTGTTGTTTTAGTCATTTAGTCGTGTCCGACTCTTCGTGACCCCCTGGACCAGAACACGCCAGGCACTCCTGTCTTCCACTGCCTCCCGCAGTTTGGTCAAACTCATGTTGGTCTCTTCGAGGACGCTGTCCCACAATCTCATCCTCTGTCGTCCCCTTCTCCTTGTGCCCTCCATCTTTCCCAACATCAGGGTCTTTTCCAGGGAGTCTTCTCTTCTCATGAGGTGGCCAAAGTATTGGAGCCTCAGCTTCACGATCTGTCCTTCCAGTGAGCACTCAGGGCTGATTTCCTTCAGAATGGATACGTTTGATCTTATTGCAGTCCATGGGACTCTCAAGAGTCTCCTTCAGCACCGGAATTCAAAGCATCAATTCTTTGGTGATCAGCCTTCTTTATGGTCCAGCTCTCACTTCCATACATCACTACTGGGTTTAAATGGGAATCAACGGCCAGCATGCAGGTTTGGGGAAGGGCCCCACTCTGAATTTCACCAGGCGAGAGCAGAGCCAAGGAGACCCCAGAGGGAAGCCCCTGCCATTTTGTCCCTACAGGTGGGAGGAGGTCAGCAGTGCCTCCTATTCGCTGAGCGGCTGCTGAGGAGCGGAGGGGGAAGATGCAACCTCCAAGGAGCAGCCGTCTCTGTCACCATGGCAGCAGCAGTGGGCGATGCAGTCCTTGGAGGCTGGATCTGCTGCCCCTGTGGATCCTGCTGCCCAAGGCGGTCGCCTCACCTTGCCTCATGGGTGGGTCAGCGCTGCATATGGGGCTAAGGAATAGTCCCCTGCAGACTGAGAGTGTAAACGGGAGCCATTGTTAAGGGCAAACACAATCTTTCTGCTGGCTTTGCAATGTGAATTGTACCCATGCAGTAGACTAGAAGACGGCTAGCACCCAGCCACCAGCTTCTGAGCTCAGCCTTATTTCGGCAGTAGACCCACCCTTGACCTCAAAGTAGCAGGCGGTGCTGACCAGACGCAGCCTGAAGACCTCTAATTTCAGAGAGTTTGTTTAATTAAAGCTCTAGCGTCTGGCAGTGGAGAGACGCAGGGTGCGCTTCTGCTGCGATCTGGCTCCCTCTCTGCTAGCAGGTCATGCTCCTCCCCCAGAAAGCCAGAAACCTCTGATTGCAGCTTAGGGCAGAGGTGGTTCGAGGGTCAGGAGACCGGCTGCCTCTAGCACTGCTCAGAGTGCAACAGGAGGCTTATTCCTCCTCCCACGAGGAGGGCAGGTGAGGTAGGTGGCTGGGCCCTGTGCCACCTGGCAGCCATCCAGATGCTGATCAAAGCAGGAGGCTACAGGTGCCAGGACAGCTCGTTGTTGTTGGTCCCCCCCCCAGCATGCCTTGCCCCTGGCACCCAGCCATGGTACCCACCCACAGCCAGATTACTGTGCAAAGCGTTGAGGATATTTGGCTTGCAGCTAGAACTTGTATACAAACAACAGAGGGGATGTGTGGGGTGTGGGGTGGCTTCTCGATTGCGGTGTTTATGGTGGCCGCCCCACATCTGGGGAAACCTTTTCCTCTAGAGATCTGTCTGAGTCTAAGCCCAAAAATACTTTCTGAAAAGCCTTCCTCTTTGGGCAGTCATCCAAACAGCCAGGATTAAGGTGTGAGGTGGTGACTTTAATTTAAACTCTTATTAAGTGCGCTGGCTTGTGCCTTTAGGAACAGGTGAGATAAAAATGGAACTCGCTCAGTCACTAAATAAATGAGGGGAAAGCCAGTATCAGAGACTCGGAAGGCCAGAAAATTCCAGCTTCATCCAGATTTCTCCAATAACGGTGCTCCACAGCTTTGGACCAGGAACAGAGTCAAGCCCTTAGTCCCTCTAGCTCAATATTGTTCACACTGACTAGCAGAGGCTCTCTGGTTTCAGAGGGGACACAATCAGGGGATGCCATGTGGGGCTGAACCTGATGCTCATCCATTTGCGCCTTCTGCTTGGGCTCTGTGTGCTTGTGACTCACAGCTCTGCTGCCACCGTTTCTCTTGTTGGCCCCTAGATAAACCTCCCTGCAAGTGAATCTCTAGATCCCTTACCGTAGCCTATTAAACATTTGAAGGGTCTTATCCTCTCTTCCCTTAATCTTCTTTCCTCTAAGCTGAATTTACCCAATTCCTTCAAATGCTCCTCAGATGTTTTCTTAATTTTAAATCCTCTCTCAACTCTGATGCTCTCCTCAGAACTCACCCCAATTTCTCCATGCCATGGAGTCTTTGACTTTCTGGTGCCACATAACACTCTGAAATTTCATTTGCCCAAATTCTTTCTGCCTCTGCTTCTTTTAATCCACCCACTTGCCTAATTTTATGGTCACTGAGGTTGTGTGCTTCTAAAAGAAGGTTTCCCCGCCCACTCAAGTCTCTGTATTTTAGCATTTGATCAATCATCTGCTGATTATAATACTACTGCAGCATCTGAGCACAAAGTGAGATGATGAAGAGGTGTATTGCAGTCAATTGCTCCTCTTGACTAAATTGCAAAAGACACAAAACATATATTGTTTGGGGAAGCATAATGAATGCATTGTCCAAAGACTGAAAAAACAACCACTTCGCGTGCATGGTAGCCAGCTTTGGATTTCAAAACTACTGGAATCAGCTTCCAGGAAGAAAGTGAGTGTGCCCAGTGAGGACAGTCTCTGGTGTGTTAAGGCTGGAGCCTGGAAGTATCAGGAACAGAAACATGGAGAAACTGTGAGACTCCAGATTG